AATTCAAGCGAATAATTAATTAAAGTAATATTAAAAATATTCTTTAAATGTATTATGCAAAATTTATGTTTCATCAAATTTTTGAAATAAATTTCGCAGAAATTAAAATATCTCAATTTTTCTCCCTCATTCTTTCCTTTCTTAAAAAAGGAAAACAAAAAAAAAAAAAAATAAATGTTTCTATGAAAAAGAATGATTTATTCGTTTTAGATACAAATGGATACGACAGAAAAAAGTTCAAGACTTGACACTGAAATAATCATTACTAAAAGTATTTCGCCTTCTGATAGTTTTATTGTTTCTAAAATTGATGCAATTTGTAGTAGTGCTAAATGTAATTTAAATTTGAAAAAAAATAAAATTGACGAAAGTCGTATGCCTTTGTCACAACGTGGAAAGCAATGGACGCTTAAAAGGGCAATTGGTGAAGGTAAACAATTTTTTTTCTTGTTCTAACAATTTTTTATCATAGTACTATTTTTCCATTTATTCGCCACAAAACTAATTTTTTATTTTATTATTTTATACAACTAATTTGTCCTACGGTATAATCTACAGTAGGTCTAGTACGGTCAATTTATAGGATAATTTACAATTTATCCAATTTGCATTAATAAGATGAATATTATTCATTGTGTAAGAACAGTATGACAATAATATCGTAAGGAAAGGATTTATATTATTAGTGATAAGGTGGTAATTTTCTCAACGTATTATTTTAATGCAGACTAGATTTACAGTGATAAGTTAACAATTGTATTAACATATAATCAGGTTAATGCTAGTTTCCTATGTAAGACTAAATGATTCACAGCACAAAAGATATAAATTAAAAAAAAAAGAAAGGAAATTAATCTGAGAAAAAAAGTGCAATAAAAGAATAACAAATTTATTAATATTTTTATTTCCAACAAATTTGTAAATTTTTCTTTCTATTTTTGCCGAAAAATTGTTTTAAATAATATTAAATTGATAATTTTAGTGATTATTTTATTCGCTAAAAGTGATTCCTTAAAAATTTTGAAGTACTAATTGTTTGTTGCTAATTTAAGACTTTCTATGAGATATTAAATTTCTTTTTTTCCGTAAAGTATTACTAAATTGAATTTTTATTTTCTAAAAATTGCCTTTCATCTTTTTTCATTTTTCTTTCCATTCTTTAATTACATTTTTGCAGGAACTAATTTTAAAACATATCTTGCAACAAACAATGACGGAGAAATATTTGCGATTCGAAAAAATCGTAAGCAAGATTGGAGTACCGATGCTTATGAAGATGATGAAAAAGCTCAGGAAGAGATTGCTAATACTATAAAGTTACAAGTAGAGCTGGTAATTTAATGTTTGATAATTATTAAATAGCAAAAATTTATTGAATAATTTTTGTCAAATGAATAACTCTTAGAATAATATTCAATGAAATAAATCTTTATTTAATGTAGTTGATTGCTTAATTAATGCTATAATATGAAAAGATTTTGATTGGATGAATAATTTAGCTTCATATTAGAGTATATAAAAACAAAAAGGAAAATTATTTAGGATTTGGAGATGATGAAACTTATTGGTGTACATTCAAATATTACCGCATTAATTGGTTTTCGTCAAATAGGATTATGTTGGGAGCAATTTATGGAATATATTGATGGTGGATGTCTTTTTGATTATATAAATGAAAATTACATCAAAGGTACAATTATTATTACATTGTTCATATTTTTCCTTCAATAATTTATGATGATTAATTAAATAATTAATTAAGTACAATTATTATTACATTGTTCGTATTTTTACTTCAATAATTTTTAATGATTAATTAAATAATTAATTAAGTACAATTATTATTACATTGTTCATATTTTTACCTCAATAATTTTTAATCATTTCAAAAATTAATTTTTTCCAAATTTAATTTTAATACTTTTAGAAATAATTTTTTTTATAATTTTAATACTTAATACAAATTTAATTTTAATACTTTAAGCGTAATTTAAATGCATAATATATATGTGTATGATGTAAGGTTCAATTTTAATTGTAGAAAATCGACTATTGGAAATTGAAAAAGCGCAATCATTCTTTAGCGATCTATTAAGCGCAGTGGAACATATTCATAGCTTGAAAATTGCACATATGGATATCAAACTTGAAAATTGTCTTATTACAAAAAATGGTACAGTGTAAAGCTAAAAAAAAAAAAAATAGACAGTATGAATTGAAGAAGTTTATAAAATTTTCGAAAAAATTGGAATAAAGTTACGTTTGTCTTAAATTGTTAATGGTTTGATCATATTTTGTTCAAAATGATATATCATATTCATTCAAATAATTCTGATTAAATTTTTACCAATTAAAATAATTAATTTTCAGGAATTGTAAAATTAACAGATTTTGATGAAGCACGATATTTCATACCTAATCTTAAACTACCTTATCCAGTATATTTTACTATATCGTATGCTGCACCTGAAACATTTACGAAACGATACCGGTGTGTATTGTACATTAACAAAAATGAATTAAAACTATTCCACTGATTCAATGATTCATTTAGATGAAAGATAATTCATTATTTTTAAAATTCAATTTTTTTAAAATTCATTATTTTTTTTAAGTAATTCATTATTTTTAAAATTTAAATGCACTTAATGCATAATTAAAATCTTGTAATAGAGTTGAAATTTTCAAAAATTTAGATATTTCTTATGAATTTTGAAAATTTTTGCATTTTGAGAAGAGAGAAAAAAAATTTAATGAAATTGATCAATTCCATAGAATCGAGAATTAAACTACAAAATATTAAATTTGTTCAATTTTCGTACTTATTATCATCCCATTAATATTCATTAAATTATTTCATGCAGGCCAAATTGCGCCGATATTTGGGCATGTGGTATCTTTTTGTATTTTTTGCTACAAAAACGTCTTCCATGGAACGTTGCAAATAGGTGTGAATGTTTCTTTTTTTTTCAAAAATTTTTTGATTTCTGATTATTTAATATCAATTATTTAATTATAGATTATTTAATATCAAATACTTGAATGATTTGATGTAAAAGAAAAATATGATGCATCCAATTGTAATTCATCAAAATTTATACTTTAAAAATTTCTTAAAATAAATGGATTATTTTTGCAGTGAAAAAGATGCTATTTACGCAAAATGGTTAAGGATGGATGAGAAAAATTTGCTGTTAACATTTCCGGAATGCTACGGATGTGTTTCAGGTGAATTAACGGATATAGCTTGAATGGACGGACGAAATTACTTGTTCAATATATTGCCAATTACGATTTTAAATTTAAATATTCAATTTTTAAGTCTTAAATAGTTAAAATTTGATGTAGTATCAATTTATAAAATCAATTTATTTAAAAATATTGACAATTTTTTTATTATCAATTAAAATTATTACAAGGAAAAAAAAAAAGAGGATATCATATGCTTTTAGATTGGGCAAATATAAACAGGAATAAGTAATTATCTTGTTTATATACTTTAATAAATATTTTTATACTTTAATAAATAATATGCAATTAATTTGTCACTCAATCAATCAATCATAAATTAATTGTTAAAATAATGGATGTGAAAGTAAAAAATTAAGATTAAACTGTCTTTTTCTAAATTGAAAGTATTGAAAATGCCGTTCTTTTTTTTTTTTTGCAGATCTTTTGATAAAAATTCTAAATGTAAAAGTGGAAAAACGAGCTACACTGGAAGAAATACGAATGCATAGATGGTTACAGAAAAATAAAAAATGTTAAAAACTTTTTTTTTTCAAAAAAATGAAAAAATTTAGAAAAATAAATTTCCATTGAATTAGTAAATTTTATGATGATACCGAAAAGAAAAAAAAGAAAGCTTTAGCAAAAATATTTGATAATAATTATATTGATAATTATGATTGTAATTATGTTATTCTTTTTTCGTACAACTTTTTTTTCAATCGTTTATTTTTCCTTTTCTCTTCTTTAAATTTCATTTTTTCTTAATTTATTTTTTTATCAATTTTTGAGAATTGTATTTATTGCAAAATTAATCATTTCCAATATCTTTGTTCATTCTCCATTTCCTACATTCCAAATTTATCGAAAGTTCTTTTTTCTTCTTTCTTTTTCTTTTTTTTTTTGCATCTTTAGAATGAATTGTCAGATTTCTTTTTTGCACAATATTGAATAATTGATTAAATAATGGTTGATAACGATTATTAAATTACTTTTAGTAATTCGATTATATCAATTATAAAAGTATTATATATCATTATTCTTAGTCGAATATGCTTGGAAAATTATTTTGTGCAAACAATTTGTTTTGTGTATTTTTGCTGGATTTTGATGTAAATGAATTGTAAATAATTAATCAATCAATTGAATAATAAAAAAAAATTTATTTTAAAGCATGTTAAAACGCATATTGGTCATTAATTATTTTTTTAAAAATTGCATAACCTTAATGAATGTAAGAAGATAAAGATTGATAGTAATAGTATAGATAATATTTAATTTATATTTAGTTATTAAGTTTATATGAGGTTTAGATAATTACAAGAATGATTCATACAGTTATAAAGAAATGAATTTATATTATTATGTTGAAAAATGCAAGCATACATCTGAAATGCTATATCAATTTTCTTATATTGTAAAATAATCGAATAAATATACTAACAATTATCACCAAAAAAAAAAATTTTTTTCGAAAAGTTTTTCTTCTTTTATTTCAATTAGAATAAAAGTTTTTACAATGTATAAATACTGTTAACATATTTGGGAATATTTATTAGACAAAAAAAAGAAAAATCAAGGAAAAAATTTCAGTAATTTAATTTCTTCAGTTTGAGTAAATATTAAATTAATCAACTGTTAGAATAATATCTGTTTCATATTCTTATTAATTAAATATTAAATTAATCATAATCAACTGTTAAAATAATATCTGTTTCATATTCCTATTAATTAAATATTAAATTAATCATAATCAACTGTTAGAATAATATCTGTTTCATATTCCTATTAATTAAATATTAAATTAATCATAATCAACTGTTAGAATAATATCT